TGAATGATGTTAATATTACATCTAGTGACTAATATTGTTTTATGTACATATATAGAGAGATGAGTTGATCAATATAAATCAACCACTTACAAACAATTAATCTAAATTGCGCCTATATCCGGGAAGAAAAAACTATTTGATTAATCGATTGTCAAAATTTATAAGGATAACATCTACAATTTTAAATGCATACATTTCAATAAATAAATGTTTATAGAATTTGTCATACAAAAAAAAAAATAAAGCTTTAGAGGACACCACACCCGTATGTGTTGTCTTACAAACGCGTAACATACCAAATTTATACTCAGCAGTTCATGTTTATCCGTCAGCTTAAAAATTAGAGTGAATCGACCTATTATGAAACTTGATAGTAAGAACTTATCTGTGTTTTGTTGCAAGTTTTTTTATGATAATTTAGTTTTAAAGTGAGATATGAGTGTATAATAAATGTTAATTAAAAATGCTTGTAACTCACTTAAAAACTGAATTATTGTAAAAAAACTCCCAACAAAACACTGATTAAGTTCTTACCATCAAGTTTCAAAATAAGTCGATTCACTCTAATTTTTAAGCTAATGGCATAAAACGTGAACTGCTGAGTGTATATTTGGTATGTTACGCGTTTGTAAGAGGGAGATAACAAATGCCGGTATGGCGTCCTTTTAACAAAGTAGATCATGGATTTTATGGAGTATAGTAAATAATATGTTTTTTCATAGTCAAATTTTGGTTTTTTTCACGTCAATAGTACATCATCTTAACCTTATTACTTATTAGTATATCTACTTACCGACAAATTTTATAGTTGTATTTTTATTGAAATTTATCAGTTTTAAATTATAGGTATAATCTTAATATTTATAAACTTTGGTCATCGGTTTTAAATCATAGGGTTTTATCAGCCTATATCCTGCATTTGCGACTTAATTGTGCAGTGCATCGATAATAAAGCACAAATCGAGTATCTCAGATGTTCCATATTCAATTTATTTCAGCGGATGCGTGTCTTAAAGCAGCGTCCACAGTGATCAGTGATTTCCCGGCGACGTTGGAAGTGGATGGACTTGTCTTCAACGCCGAACCTATACTCGTGTCATGCATAAAGCAAATGCTGTCGATTTTGCTTGTTGTGCCGGTAATATACACACCCAACGTTGTACACTGTGAATTGTACAATGTGCAATATGTATTAATTAATTAGTTATTAAAATTTATGATGTGTGTTCATCAGGACTGTCCCGATCTTGAAGTGTTGCACCAGGTGAAGCTACTGATCAGAGCGATTAGACAATATTCGTGGACTGATCCGATGCAACCGCACATGCTCTATTTGTACGTTCTAGACATACTGGCCACTGCAACTCTGGATACGTATCCTTACAGAATACCTGATGGCAAGTATCTATATAAACCTATTATAATACCATTTGAAAGTAAGGATCCAGGATGAGAGGCCGAAAAAACTATATCTACTTGATTTAAGAGACATCCCTAATAAGTCTTGATAAAAAAAATTTAAGTTCAGTCAAAAATCTTGGAAATGTAATACAAAGCTTAATAATATTAAAATATTGAAAATACATAAACTTGATTTTTGTTAGTGATAAACTGATAACCTTTTCACATTTTGACGAAATTCCTCAAAGTTCCCAACAATGGAAAATGTTCATGTATCTAATTAAAATTTTTAATTTTTAATAACTTAGGCTTGACAATTTTATATGAGGTTCCTCATAAGTTCTTACCAACTTTAAAATTTAAAAAATAATTATTCACAAGTTAATAAAATGGGGGCAAGTTGTGTCTCTCTTCTTTACATTCTACTACCCCCCAAACAAAGAAACAAGCTAGATCGGAGTATAATGAATGATGATAAATGAAAATATTGTAATCCTGCATCATATACCAAATTGTATGCTGCTAATATCTGTGATGCCTCTACAGTGGACTCCAACGATGTGCTGTACGGCCGTGAACCACAGTTTGTGGCTGATGTGGACTCGATTTGTACTGTGGTGTTGGACAATATACTTGAACGGTTGTATAGTCTGGTCGATAAGCCAAACAGTCAAGTAAGTTACAAAAAAGAATTAATATTGAAGTGATTGATGGCACTTAGGATTTTTTTTACAGACGAAATTGGCGTTTGAATTACTCCTGCATGTTGTTGTCAGAGCGGACTTAAACGAAATCCAAATGGCTACATTGGCAGTCAATCTTTGGAAGTTGTCAAAAAAAAACAAAACAGCCATGGACCCCAAGATAGAAGTAAATGTATTGATTAATGCTGTACATGCTTTGTTGCAATTGAACCAGTTATACTGTACAGACTAAATTTTATTTTACAGGAAAATATGATAACCTATATTAGAGAATTCTGCGAAAATGAAGAAGATGAAATTTATCATAAATTTATAAACAAGATCACAGGAAAGCCTATTAGATCTTCAAATAAAAACCAATAGATATAATATGTTACGTTTATATTACAGATATATGTATTTTATTTTTCTAAGATTTACATTTTATGTACATTTATTGTTGTTATTATTATATTTTCATTGTGTTGCTATGAAAATATACATAGTTGTTATATCATTAATTTCAAAATACATCACAACAAGATAACAAAATAAACAGATTTTAAATATTGTACAACTAGTATAATACCTTCCTTACAATGTCATATAAGGAGTAAACAAGATAAAAGGATATCAAACATAATTTAAAATCTAATAAATCAATCTTATTGGCAAGTTTATATATTATCGTCTAATTAATGGTAAGCTTATTTTTCATCTGTTTTTATGTATCGGTTTACTTGTTTTACAATTTTCTTGTCTGTAGTCAAATTTGTAAAATTGTCCTAAATGTTTTTTTTTTTTTGAACATTTGAATTTTTTAAATTTCTAGTGAAAAGTCTACAAACATTATATATAAAATCTTATTTAATGTGTTGAAGGGTATATCTTAAGTCAAAACTTAGAATTGGGTGTTCATTTTTTGAATCTTTTAATGTACATAAATAATTACGATCTTTCAAAAATGTGTGTAGTCCAAATTCCAACATAGGTGGGCAGATGGCTTGAATCACCATATAATTGGAAATCAATTTTATTTTAGTTAATAATTTATATTGCATGATATAATATATTAATTTAGTGACAAAAACGTAACCAACAATATTGGTACTAAAAACAAACTTTATTCAATTTTAAAATGAACTATTATTACTTTGATGTGTTGTGACACTATTACTCTCACTTGTATCAAATTCTTGTTCAAGGTCTCTATAATAATCTCCAGCCTTAATTAATTGATCCAAGTGTCTTTCCAAATAATATTTTCTACTAAAATTCTTACTTATTAAATTCTTTTGCCCATCACCTCTTCAACCACACATTTCTTTTACGCTCTTTTGTTAGGATCCCTATTATCTCGGGCATAACAAATTTACTCATATAATACTTTTCTTGTCCTTTACTCCTTTCTCCAAAATCAGTTAACAAATCTAATCTGGTTCTAATTTTTCTAATTTTTATAAACTGTAACCGAATGTGGTGTACTTCTATCAGTTAACAAATATTGACTAACCATGGCACCCACTGAATTACCTTCTACCTCTATTATACTTCATTAGTCTAAACAGACAAGATTTGAAAAATTTAACAGCATTTTCTGCCAAACCGTTGGTGGAAGGATCAAAAGGTGAAAAAGTGACAATCTTAATACCATTTAGAAGATAAATTAGTTAGTAAGAAGAACATTTTCCACTTACTGATTCTAAAAAGTCCTCGTGCACTTTATCAAACACTCCTTTACTTTCTGGCCATTGGACTAACTTGGCAAGTGGTAGATTTGGTCTCATATCCATACATAAAGTAAACTTCTTAAAATATTGTTCTATGTCCCCATCTATATTGGGCACAATTTAAGATGTACTGATACTTATCTTAAATCATGATATTGGACCACCAGAAATATGATCTGGCTAAGTTTTTCATTTTAGCCCATATGAGTAATAGGTATGTTACTCAGTTAAAATTCTTTCTTCATTCTTGGAATACTCTTGGAATTATCACCTTATAACCGTATAACCCTATCAATACTATTGTTCTATGCTCATAGGCGCAATTTGGACAACTGATTTGGGGGGTTAACAATGTATTACAAAAACTTAGGAGGGCTTGAATAAAACTAGCTCCCCCCCAAATTGCACCTATGTCTATGCTATAACCCCACTTAAGTATACCCTTTTCTAAATACAAATCATTTTTCTTATTTAAATACTGATTAACCTCATCATCTCGTGGACTTATTATCTTTTAATCTAAATACTGCAAAACCTTAATCGATATAATAATTATTACAATATCCTATTTTTGTTTCAATTCATATTATAGTATAGGTCAGAGGTCCCCAACCTTTTAGCTGTGCGGACCACCAATTTTATAAAAAAATCTTTGAGGCCCACATATAGCTCACCTATGTATACGAATGCAGAAATATATTATATATATGTATATACAAACGTCAGTTAGAACTAAAAAGAATTACAAAATCAATTGTTTATCATGAAAAACACTTTGTTAAATTTAATCACAAGTTAAACAATTTAATGAGATTTCTGACATTACTTGTCCTTCATGAGAGAATCAATATCGGGATGAAAACTGGATAGTTTTAGAATCAAATCATTTTCAACATTCAGTTTATTCCTATACTTAGCGTTAATTTGACACTAATTTGACACTACAGGGTGTAGATAATATTGATAATTATTATTATAACCAGAAATATTATTGGGCATGTACTAAAAATATATAATATTAAATATTATATATTAATATGGTTCACACCGTTCACGGCCCCTATACCACGCTGCTCGAGGCCCACAACTCACGAGTGGCCCATAGGTTGGGAACCGCTGGTACCTATAGGTAGTACGTGGTAAAACGCATTCCACCGATCGATCGACGCGTTCCTGGTGGCAGAATAACCGTGCTCTTTTTGTCGGCTCATATTGTAATAATTATGTTGTCCATCATTGAACTCCATAATAATATATTCATATTTATATTATCATATTTATCATAGAAAGTTCAATGAATAATTGTAGACGGAGTTTGGTCTGCTTATCTCAAATCTGTGAGTAGTAATGAGTTTGATACTATACATTTACATTATTTAGATTACATTTTCTTATATTTTTTTATACTTGCCTATTAGTAAACTTAATATTATCATCAATTAAATATCTACGTTAAAAATTTTTTTTGATTGTGAATTTTTTTAAATAAATTTTTTGTTGTCACTTTTTTTGATTTTGTGTTTCAATTTATAATTTGTATAATATTATTGGTTCTAGGTAATATACCTAGTTTAATATTTGTTGTAGTAATTAGTTTGGTTCAGTAAATGAGTACTTGGTTGTTAATTTTAATTTAAAAAACTGTACATTTTTTTATACTTATCAGAATGTTATAAAAATTATAACAGTTTTTTTTAGAATGTCAAATATAAAAACAAATTCTACTACTACCAAGTTAAGAAGTAATGAAGCATCAAAATGTCGTTCTCAAAATCGACCAAATTCTGATTTTGACTTGCAAGTAGATTCTGTAGCATCTGGCTCTTCACAGATTTCAAAAGTACCAATTATTTAATGTATGTTTTATTGGTTTTAAAATAATTATCTTATTGTTCACGATTGATTGAATAGCCAGCAATAATTTCTGAACCTCGTCGACAGAAATATGGAGGTAGAGGAATGGCCATTCAACAACTAGGTGAATCTATATCTGTAAACAACAGCATGAAAAATTCAAATTTGGTTTGTTTAATAATTATAACTTATGATGTACATGTATTAGTTTATTAGTAAATATAATTAGCTATCCATATTTAACAGTATCTTTAAAATTATTTAATGTTTATAGAACTTTTCAAATGCAAGCATAGAACGTCATTTCAATAGACTTAAGGAAGAAAATGCAAAAAGTAAGTTTGTAACATGATTATTGATTATACATTTTTATACTTGTTACATTACCTATTTATTATTCCACTTATTCTGTCTAATAATACGACTAATTTTGTTATTCAGTACCTAAGTATTTAAATGTTAAATTTTTGTTATGAAGGGAAATAATTTGAAATTTGAAATAGACATAACATATAGATTATAATATTATATATTGTATTACTATTAACACCAATAATTTAAGATAAACAGGTATAATATATAATTTCAAATTATTTTTTTTTCAGAACTTAATGAAGAAAATGAAAAGATTTGGGGAACATTGATACATTCAAATAAGAATACATAATATTTAAAAGGTAATACATACATTTAAAATGTTTTAATTGTGTAATAGTTTGATGTATATATTTACAGAAGAACTTTGAAAATCTGAAAAAATTCAAACAAAGTTGAATTATTAATAGACTTATAAACTACTCTACTGTTTTCATTAAAAGTTTTATTAATAGATTACTTGACATATGGAGTCTTTGAGGGTGTATAAAGCTTATTTTTTTGACCCCCATAGGATATTCTCATAAACCATATGCAAAAACTAAAAAAAAAACTGACAAAAACTGTGTATAACAGCAGCATTGCAAGTGGCGTAACAACACTGTCTTGACGAAAAAATACAATAATCTTTATTTCTTTATATCTTACATTCTTACCCTACTACCATGTACTACCGTGTGTATGAGTAATCAAAAAGTGCCCTCTATGTTGTTACATTTTTCATACACTCATTGATTGTCTAGTAGTATAAGGTCTATGAGAATGTCCTATGTATATGTATACTCTCTTTAAGCTGGATTCACATATCTTTATGTGACGAGTCCTGCAAGGTTGTCGTAACTATGGTTAGCGACTGATTCTATAAACTACATTTATTTAAGAATTAATTAATAATTGCATGTAATTATATTATAATTTAATCTAATCCTCTCTAATTTTTCAGGTATTTGAAAATAATAATAAAATAATAATTGACAACTTGCAGTGACTTATTAAAGGACAATAAAAACTATATCATTATGCATGCAAGATGTATATTGTATATAATATGTATATATTTATGTATATATTTGTAACTTAATTTACTGTAAATATATGATGTTTATACTTTTATAGTTATGTTTATGTTTATGTATAGTAATTTGTAATTAAAATATTTGTATTGTAAAATATCCTTTTTATAAAATTATACTATACTATTACTGGAATACTTTTATTATTTTTTTTATGGTGGCAAATTCGGAAGGTCAGAATTAAAAATTAAAAATTAAAAATTCACTATAGTTTCAATAGCTCTAAGAAAAACAAAGCTAAATTTAAGGAAAAACTAGCATTTTTAGGCAAAATCGGTTTTGTTTAATGTAACTCTAAAAAAAATGACGGTAGACAAGAAATATTCACTAAATGTTGATGCTATCAATTTTTATATACCATATACAATCTTCAAAATATTTTGTCTCTTGTAGAGCTATTAATAGGCACATGCAATTTTCGATCATTATATTAGTTTTTAAAAATAATATCGATAAAAAACTTGAAATTATAATACAAGGTTCTTTATAAGTTGTTCTTAGAGGAAATTAAAAAAAAAGTTGAACATAGATCCACAATAATTTTATACGAGCGTCTTTGGTTATAATTTTGATAAAATTCGTAAAAAACACGAACATTTGCAAATTATTTTGAGTCGGAAATTCAATAAATTTTTATTTTTATACGTATCTTTGAATTGAAAATTAAATTCAAGATTATTTATAAATATAGTATGTCTTTTCTAACCAAATGCTACCGAAAAGTAAAATTAAATTTTTATGAGCTTCTGAAGTTCAAGTGTTGACAAAATTAGATATTTAAACAAATATTAACTACTTTAGTTGCTTTGTTGTAATTCAAAAATTGTATTCCTGGGAAACTTTTAAAATATATTATTATAATTTATACACAAAGTGGCCTTGTCAAATGCAGTTTTTCAGCAAAAATGAATTTAACCTACTGTAAGTGCACTGGTACCTTAATGCCTAATAGTAAAATAAACTACTTCAATCACAATAGCATCATAAAATATACTTAGTAGGTACCATAATTATAGGCTGAAACTCAGAATCGTTTTCGTATGATTTTATATAGTTGAATTCAAATTTAACTAAGTCACTTTAATCATTGACTCTCTGTAGGGACCTTATGTACCTACAGCAGAAACGTTACCCACTTAACCGCTTTTTAAACATTTGTTTTAGATAAAATAAATTGTTCCATTATACTGCAATGGTCTACTTCAATGAGTGAGTCAATTGAGCTACACAAATGTGCATTCATTTTCTTTTAAAAATAAAACAATAAATTATGAATTTGAATAAGTTATGAATGGACTGAACAACCATTTACATCGTAGGACATTGGTCCAACGTGTGATCTACCACAATTGTTGTGGTGTACAAGATGCAACAAACACAATTTGTATTTAAAAATGTTTATTATATTATAATTATAATATTATATTATATTGTATTTATTTTTAATATTTTATTCACAGCATACTTTTTTAATATAATTTAAAAAGGTTGGAAGTAGTTCGTCTTTTTCATTTATTGACCGGTCACCATTATTACCTGGCCTCAACCAATGTAATATTTAATGTGTCGTGCCATGCATTTTCCTCAATAACTTCAATTTAAAAATCGACCTCAGACACTCAATATTTTTAGTACCTACCTATTATCTATAGCCAGTAATAGGATGCGGGGGCGTCACTTCAGTTTTTTTCTGGGTGTGCAAACTTTTAGGCAGACTTATTTTGACATTTCACCAGGCCATTAAAAAAAAATGTATATATATAAATGTAGGTAACCTTTGTAAACCTATGTAAATATTCTTTCTTTCCCTTTTATAATTCTAATTGAAACTCATAAAGACTAATGCAACTTTTAAATAGCTAGTAATTTAAAGAATTAAAACCTTATAAGCAATTAAAGCAACCAGCTCAAGCCATTTCACTATCATTTGCAAAAAAGGCAAATAAGGTATAATCGATAAATCTGATAAAACAAAAATATACAAAAACTTGAAAAAAAAAAATTTTATTTATAATACCTACCTACATATGAAATCATTATGTATAAATTAATTAAAACGGAGCATTGGATTATTAATGGGGGGGGGGGGAATTGTTAACATTTTTTAAGTTAGCGGTCCCGTTGTACACCCCACTCCCTCTCCCCTCCCAAATGACTGCACTGATAGGATTTATACAGTTTTTAGAGTGATTCACCGTGTAATGAATGAAACCAATATTTTTTAAAAAAGCAAGCAGTTTCCATTCATTGCTCATAAGTCGTAATCTTTGTTCCAAGAAAAACCTCTTTTTGAATAATTGGGATGAGCGTTTCTCTACGTTCTACTACAAAAAATCTGAGGAACGAGGTTGACTGAGCTTAAGTGTGATCACAAACTTAAGCAAATGTTTGTTGAAACCGATTTTTAAATGTTTTGGGCACACGTATCTACGGGGAATTATGCAAAACTTAAAGCATTTTTTTCTTCCTTGATCAACAAAGTTGACACGTGTTGTGACATTTTTTTTCCACGAGCCAAAAAGGTCGAATAAGACCACTGCATTATAGTATACCATTCTCTTAACTCGAACCATTCACAAAAAACTTACGACATTCAGTATTATTGATTTGAAATTGTTAAAATTTATCATTCATGAGAGTATGAGACTATAATACTTATATATTATGATAAATTAAATGTTTTTATTTTGGAAACTAAAAGAACTTACCTATTTGATATAAAAATGCATGTTCGGTTCTGGTACTTTATTTAACTAAATAAAAATTTCAGGTCCCATTTACGGTTCTTAATATTTTGAAACTTCCGGTTCCAAAACTAGTTGTTATAGGTTTGGTTCCAATCTCTGGTCTAAATAGGTTCGTATGTATATTATGTTTATTATGTTATACATTGAATGTCTTACGAAAAAAGTGTCTTTTTAGTTCATTGAATGTCTTCTACGGTTACCCACGTCGATGACCGTCTAGCGAGGCTTTGGAAACCGTGCGTTGTGTCTTGTGTGTCATGGTTTCACGAACCACTCTACTACGGCAAGTACATTGCGTTGACATCCTCTTAAAAAATTCGGTTTCATGTAGGGTTCAAGGTTCTTTTGGAGATAGTATGATACATAGATAGGCATTTTCCTCTAAAAAGGAGATACAATTTTCCTTCACTGTCCATTTTCCTCCCATAAGGAATTACGAATAAATGTTTATGTTTAATACAAATAAAATAAATATCAAAAAATATATTTTTAACTTTTTAAGTCACATAACATAATTTCTCTCCCCCACCAATTTACGAATTAAGAATAAAAATATTGCTTATAATATGTTCAACACAAATACAATATTTAAAATAATTTTTTATACAATAAATAAACATAAAAAAACATTATTGATGACTTATTAAAAATAATGTAGGTAGGTACCTATAATTTTACTAAATTTCAGCAACAAATGATACATACTTTAACGTAACATACTTGTTTAATGAAAAGAATTATTAGACGGATGAAAAATTATTTTACTTTTTGTATTACCTACTTAAGAATTTCTTTGTTTTGAAATTTAACAATTGCTTTGTCGATTGAATCACGCAGTCTGTTTGTTCAGTGGCCTCTAGTTTTTTGGACTATAAACACCTATTTCTTATTTTACTGTAAACATATGTTCGAATTTGTTCCTCAATATCGAGATGCATAAATATATGTTTGGTTTTTATTTAGAAGAATATCGGCTAAATATTTAAATATTTGTAGAAAAATGGATATAATTTTAATCCAAAAAAATGTTGGGGGAAAAATAGAATCCAACCTTTTTTATTTTGAAGAAAATGGATAGTGGAGGAAAACCGTAACTCATTGACCCACCGGGTATGGCTGTATATGAGGAGGCTTATATATTTTTACTAAACATTTATAATACATTAATACCCCATACCTATACGGCTATACTAACCTAATGCAATCTATGAAGGAATTGTATTTTCGCCTGTATTACAAATTATAGTCAGTATAAATATATTAACGCTCAACTATTTTAAACTCCTAAAATAATACAATGTATCTATACGATTTAAATGTTGGTTTACTATTAAAACAAAGCCAATATATAATAGCCATATAAATACCCGAGGTCGCAGTATAATTACTGTACGAGCCCAGTACATGGTTATTAAGAACTTAATAGTAAATACTTACAGTCTAAAACAAAAATTATACATCTGTAATATTATTAAAAGACAACAATATAGGTTTAGCTATTCAAAATGAATAAGTGTATCTCAAGAATACGCATTTAATAGGTATATACAATATTTATATAATAATAATAACAATACAATATGAAATGTTCATATTCCAAGTGCCCAATAATAATTAATATAATGTTGAGTTTATGATTAATGAAGGAAACGTACAATATAATGCCTCTTAATATGATTAAGGGTATTTAGTTGTGTGCCGTTTTAACACTACACTCTTCTGGAGTCTTAATTTTAATCAAACCCCGAAGAAGTGCGCGGATCAACGGGAACGAGTAGCATCCACATGTGCATCTGTAATCGTCCGAGTGCATGTAATAAAGTTGGACACCTCCAATTTGAACACCCCGCAAAAACATCCCCTGTAATATTAAAACAAACAATAAATAACGTAGAAAGTCGATTATTAAAATGTACAAAGCGTTGGCATTAGTTTCTGTTTTGTATATAAATAAATACTTAGACTTTGCCCACTAAATGAAATTCAAACTGTTCGTCTTTGTATAATATCGTGATTTCACAATACAAACATTTCTAAGAAAAATACCTATTGCAATCTTTATAAAAATTAATGAAAAGTTACTTATACAGTGGTTTTAAAATGGGTAAATATAAGAACCTACAGGCTACAATAGAATAAAATGTACTCAATGACTATCTCTGCTATGTAAAATAAAAATAAAAAAAACTGCAGAACTCATTTTTGCTTTACATGGTGAATTTTGAATATGCTCAGAGACATGCTTTTAATTGAATGTATCAAAATTCTTAACAAAAAAATGTATCCTCTTAAAAATTAAAAGTGAAGAATGGAGGGTTCTTATTTGAAAAATAGAAGTTCGTATTATCACAAGATCATTCTTAAGTGGTACCTACAAGAAATCTCAAGCATTCAAAAATTTGGCCTGCAAGTGAATTTCAGAATTTCAAAAATTATCATTGAATCATGAATATATCATATATTTATATTATGCATTTATGTATCCCAAAAGCTACAAAACGGCGAACAAAAATATATGCGTTAATGAACATGGAACAACAGTGCACAGAAGATGAACAACAGACAACCACTCGACTGACTGAAATCCAATATGCTGCTTTCAAAGCGCCACTATTTTGATCCCCGAATCGGTGGGAGCTTAGTATGATGGAGACATACATTAATTTATCAATGTCATAATTGATGAATAATTTCCTGATGACAACACGTATGAAATATTTAAAAGTATAATAATTGAACGACTATTGCAATTCGGAGTGAAATGATTAAAGAAATTACTAAGAGTCAAGAGTAAGGTTACAAAAAACCTTCATATTTACTGTGCAAAATAATTTCGGGTGATCAAGTAACCAAAGGCTTACTATAAAGTGTATGGCTTTAATGACTTTCGCTTAAAAAATGAGTGATATAAAACCCTGTGAAAACATTTTTAACCACACCATTGGTCTAAATATTGCATATATACGTCTAACTTCTAAGTCTGTTAAAATAAGAATGACAATTTTAGTATAATGTAGTACTCACCGAAAAATTATTAGGGGTGCAACTACTGTAATATCTAAAATAATTCCGGATCCAATTTGCTTAGCAATTTTTAATTTGGGATCCAACTAGGATGCAGTCTCCCAGTCAAAAATACCATTCATTTAGTAAGTCTACCGATTGAAAAGGATGAATGTAACAACGAACTGCGTTACCATCATGAAATATTCAAAGATCGAGCAATTTTTTTATAGGCTTGTGGTGAAAAATTCATTCTGAACACAGATTGAAAAACTAAATAGTTGACGGGTAGAAGCGGTGACACAGTAAGTATGAACTACAAACTACTTGGAACTTAAATACAACAGATTATTCTACCAAATCCCAATTTTCAATTGACAATAGACAGTTTGACAAATGTGTAGAGCATAATATTGCTCCCGGTTTCTCTATAGTTTCTTTGGTGATAGTTGACTGTTTTTTTGCCGTTTGCTTTCGTCATTTTGTAATAAGTGCGAGCCTTTGTCATTTTTGTGTAGGTCAGCCCAAAAGTGGTTCCTGCTATCTTGCGCCGTCCGGTAATTACTTTCAACCGTCTCGGTACAAACCTCATCACACATGCCGTATACACTGTGCGTGCAGACGTGCAGTAACTTTCTGTTATTCACCATGTGTTAGTGTTTAATTTCATCATTATTTGTTAGCAATTTACCTGTTTTAATCTTCATTATGGCTTTAAAACTGGATACTCCAATTAACCTACTCAAAAAACTATATCCAGTCATACTGATAGTACTAGTAAGGCAGTTTCTGTCTCTAATGAAGACTTAATGATTATCTTGAGGTCTTGACAAAGCACTTTCTGAACTTCAAGCGACGCAATACCATGATATAAAAGCTGACTTACTGCTTGTCTCCAATAAAATGCTGGAATTAAAATCTGAGAAATCGAACTTAGAAGGGAAGTTGATTCTTTGAAAGAGAAAGTTGCCTATTTACAAAGCTTAAGTTCAGCCGAACCGTCGCATTTTTTTGTTTCCCAGGTTCTCCAGGAAACATTTGAACTTGATAAATGCCGATCTAAATTTATTTTTTACAATGTACCTGAATCTACTTCCTTTGCTGTGTCTGAGCGTATTGATTATGACAAGTTTACCACTGGCAAAATATTTTTGCCACTTGGTAGTGCTGTTCATCTAAACATTAAATTTGTCTTCGTACTGATGCTTTTTGGCCTATCAAAGCTATTCTTGATATTAAATAAAAAAATCGGAGTTTCATTTGTTGTCTTTGTTGAACTCTGCATAGAGATCTGATTCGCTTTTATCGATGGTTTTTGGATAACTTCTGAAAAAACGCCATTGAACATTTTGAACTGTGATGTTTATAATATAAATTGTATTTTTATTGTACTAACCGAAACTTGGTTAAATGCCAATTTTTCTAATACTGAATTATGTCTATTTAATTATATTTTTTTTAGTTTTTATAGATGTAGTTCTACTAGTTATTATTACCGTGTTGCTGGTATCCTCATTGGGGTTGGTGAAGATTTTATTGCTTACTCGGTTCCTCTTGCTTCATTGTTGGTGGTGTATACATTTCCCCCTAACTCCTCTTTATAATTTTGAATTCCTTGTAGCTGTTGTTGAGTTTTCGGAACATCAATATGCTGTGACACCTTCATTATTTGTGGTGACTACTACAATCTCCCTGAAGTTCTTTGGGATAATGATGACCATGGTCTAATATATTCTTATTTCACAACAGCCAGTGCTTCGGAATTATTTGCTTCTAACGGTTTTTTCCAAGCAAATTGTATTAGAAATACATATGATTCTATTCTGATATTGTTTTTTGTTCTAACAAGCTACTATTAGTTAGCAAATCCTGTGATTAAATTGTGCTGGAAGATCAATATCATATAGCATTAAACATTACACTCCATACATATTTTGCTTGCCTTTTTTTAATTGTGAACATCCCTTCTTTAATTTTTGTACCGGTTAACTATGGCAGTGTTCTAGCGCGGAGCGATTCGTCCATATAATATATACATATACATTTTTCTTCGGACATCACGGGGTAGCGGAGATAAAAGCGCCTCTAGCAAGTTCCTCCCTCCAGTGTCCGGCGGCAGTTCGTCTGGCGATAGCCAGACCGTTGACCGCGGACAAGGTTTCCATTTTTTGTCTTTTGCCAACGGTTGGGCCCGCCCGACACACGTATCTGTCCGCCCACCGTACTTGCGTATGCTGTCTCTTTGTGCCACACACCGGAATCTGCCATCACCGACCAGGCTACGGGCTTCGTCGGGCAAGTTGCAACGAACCAGATCGTCCTTATTATTTTGTAAATCATTATTTTTTTGTAATTTTATACTATATTGTGTACCGATATTGTTATTTATATATATATATATGTGTATTGGTAATTATTCCTGAGCGCCCTATACCACCAGTTAATTTATTATTATTATTATTTTATTTGATGTTTGTATTGTTCAATATATTCTGTCGATCGGTGTCTTAAGCACCTTATAATTATCTGACGTGATATTATTTTGCATATACTTGGGTAACCCATTCCGCTCCTGTCTACAACATAACACGCGATTCGTTGCCGACAACCGCCGATCATTGAAGGATCGGTAACGGCGCCACAGGCAGAATTCGTACTTTCATGTTCTCTTTTGATTGGTATTTCACATTTCTCTGTTATGATATTGATTCGGCTGTAAATGTATTCTTTGATGCATTGCATAAATAAATTATTGACTTTGTTTCTCAATGCTATTTCAGGGAATCGTCTTATCCACCTTGGTTTAATAATGAACTTAAATATATATTGTTACTCTAAAAGAAAGCCCAGTTGAGGTTCAAATCTGCCTCCAATATTTCTGACTACAACAATGCCATTTTCTTCGAGCTTAATATAAGTATGATTTAAAAACATGTTATCGTGACTATGTTAAACGCTCAGAGTACTCGCTCATTAATAATCCTAAAGACTTAGAAATTTGATAAAAACAAACGTTCTTATGTATATATACCTAAGATTATGTCATCTAATGTTACAACTATAATAACTACATTTGATGAGTAGGCGTCTGTTAATTTGTTTTCTGACTATTTTTCTTTGACTTATTCATGTTTACTGATGTCGATGTTAGTAAAATGAGTATTCCCAATTTTGATCTGGGAAATAATGTTGTTATTACTGTTGACGATGTTTTCTTCTGTTTATCTGATCTCTGTAGTGTCTGGTTTGTTGGATCTGCTGGACTTGCTGGATCACAGCTTGTAATACCTGTACTAAAAAGTAGTAACCGACCAATTTATATTCAATCTCATGTTTCCAAAATATTCGAGTCTCTAGTCTTAAACGCTATTCCACCATCCACCAATCGTATCCTTATGGAGGAACAGAATGGTTTCCTCTTTGGTCGTTTTACTACTACCTGTAATTTACTCTTCTGTAATTATATGTTTGATACATTTCAGTGTCAGTCCCAGGTAGATGTAATTTACCCAGACTTCATGAAAGCTTTCGACTCAGTGAACCATAAAGCGCTTATACAAGTTCTCAGTGAGTTTGGGTTTGGTGAGGCTATTTTGTCTTGGCTTAAGTCTTATATTAATAATAGAAATCAATAGGTTGCGCTGTTTGTTATTAGCCTAAACTCTTCTCTGCACCATCTGGTGTTCCCCAAGGATGCCATCTGTCTCCTTTACTTTTCTCCTTATTTATCAACAGTGTTCATATTGTTATGCGTTACTGTCGTATTCTCTGTTTTGCTGATGATATCAAACTATTAATGAGGGTACGCGCTATCGAAGATTGCCTTAAGCTACATGTTGACTTCGTTTCCTTTGCTTCTGAGTTTAATTCACTGGGAAGCTAGGTCTTTACTTTTGAAAGGATCCTATCTCCTTTGTTATTTCATTATTGCTTGGGAGCTATCAATTTATCTCACTTTACTGGTTTTGTTACCGACCTTGGCTCAAATTAATTCATAATCTCGATCCTAGTCCACACATTGAACATGAATTGTGTAAGGCATTTAAAACACAAGCTTTGTTATGTGTTTAGCTAAAGACTTTTGGCTTCTTATTTCAGTTGAAGTGTTATATTATGCACTTGTCCGACTAGTGCTTGAATATGGTTGTCTTTAGTCTAGGATCCCCATACCGCCCATACTAACCTATTACCTCTGAGGTGCAAACTAACTTGAAATGTAAGAAGCAAGGATCTAACTAGGAACCATGTAGAACTACAAGCAGAGATGAAGCATACACAATGACATGAACTTAACAGTCGCCAAAATATAACAACGAAGATCTTTTTAACACTTAACAAGTCCAAGAAAGACTTGATTCCTTTATAACGAAAATATAAGAAATTATGAAGAACTTAATTAGTTCCAACTACAACACATGGAAACAAGAAAATATTTGTACACTAAGACCTAACATAGAGGTTCACAACAGGGTGATGCGAACTTGAATAAAGAGTGCCTTAAAATTATTTCAAATACCTTTAATGCAATCATGCATACGTATTCATACATATTTCACAATTAAAAAAAAAACAACTATAAAAGTAATGTAAAATAAATTGAATATAAAATATAATAATATGAGTGTAGGTACACGTAAGTCGTATGTTCCTACTATGTAATACCCTGTCTCATAAATTAATTAATAATTTCCTTCATGTATAACCTAAATATATACAATTATACTATAGGTAGATTAAGTTAAAGATAATTAAAGAAAATATTTCAACTTGATTTACATAGTACTAAGCTAATTTATTAGGGGTATATCGATTTCGCCGTTTTAGTATCGATGCTGCTCGATATTTGTCTGTATACTGATTCCGCCGGCTATCAATTCCGTTGACTGTTTGTTAAGCAATAGCTCAAATATCATATAATAGAGTATTTTTTTAAAAAATAACCAACGGTATTGGTACACCTAGTTCATCATATATTTTTTTTATTCAAATGAAAACATTTCAAAAAACAATTGAAATATTGTCATCCAAATAAAAAAAAAACACAATTGTCAATTATACATATATTATGGAAAAAAAGCAATTCAATACAATGCATAAATTGTTGAACTAATAAAATAATATAATTCAAACACTTAGTGCTTGTTTTTTTTACAAAATATTGTTTAAATACTTGACGCCAGTTTTATACAAGTGAATCTATCAATTTTTTAATTTAAATAATTGCTAAAAATGTTTGGTATATATTATTTTTAGTTTCATTATTTTTGTTTTTGATTGTTTTATTATTGTATAGCCCTCTTATTTTTATGTAAGAATCAGTTTGTATATGTTCAAGTAATGTGCTACTTCAGCAATGTAATTTCGTTGTGAGTGTTCTGAAAATTACTTGGCTACATGTAATAAAATATTAACATTTTGTTATTATTAAAATAAATAATTTACAAATATTCAGCTGATTGATGGCCGGTAGAATCAATAAAAAAAATTCGGCGGAGTTGATAAGATGCGCATCGATAGATTTCTTACCGGTAAAAAGGTCATTTCGGCACAATTGATTTAAGTCCATTTTATTTATGTATTAAAAATAGCTACACACATTCTACGGGTGGATCTGTTTTTGCTCAAAATCGACTTTTTGGTTTTCGCCCAAATGACCTTTTTTTTTTTTACCCAAACACAAAAAAAGACTGATTTTCTTTTCGCCCAAAGAAATATTATTCATAATAAACGAAAAAACATTTTGGTCACCACTCCCCACTAATCAAAACAAAAAAAATAATAACAAAATACATGCCAGTTAAAAGTTGCGGAAACTCCAGAACTTAAATTAAATTATGTACCGTAATCCAGCCGATAAATCAGATACCTAAGTTGTAATCGATAATTGAGCTGAATGTACGGATATAATTCGACTTAGAATGATGTACCGCAGTTGTTCGCTCGTGCCCATAATATGTCAGACAAGTTAGTCAGATATATTCGAGCTACAATTCATTTAAATAGATTTTACTTACAACTTAAAATGACCGTGGTGTTTTTAGGAAGTAACAGAGGAAAAAAATGTTTGTTTTCCAGAAATACAAGTATAATTTTTTTTTGGAAAATATACAAATGGCTTAATTCGTTGGCGCTGTATTAAACGTATTCGTTCAACAAAGATATACACGACGACTGATGGAATAATAACGAGTACACTAGATTCCATCCAACACGATTACGAACCCTCAAATGAAAAGGAAATTAAAAGACAAATTGTAAGTACAGTGTGTAAACGTAAGGCCATAGCGGATGCCCATACTTGTCCAAAAAAATTAATACTTAAAGAGTTAACAGAAAATAGTTCTTTTATAGATAATTTCACCAATGACGATATAAATAAAATTAGAAATATTATATATGACTGTGGACAGTCGTAGAAAATGTCTTCCTGTAAATCCTAAAAATATTATTGGAGCTCATTTAGCTTTAGAAAATACAGATGTAATTACTTGCAAAGTCAAACAATTTTTAGTTCTTAATGTTCAAATAAAAAATATTGTTATTTTTTTATGCGATACAAATTGTATAATGTTATGTGACTCAAATGTTTACTATCTTGTTATGGCTCTTAAAATGGAAATTATATTTTATAACTTTGACAAATATTTTGGTTTTTAATATTATTTTTTTAATATGTTTTAAATTTATAAACTTATAAACTTATGTTTTTTAAATATTATGTAGGTACCAATAGAGTATACTGTAGCGAGCTGTGACTATGTTTAAATATTATAAATAATTACTCCAGTGAATCCCTCGGGTAGTTTTAAATAAACATGTGATTGATACGATATCAATCAAAGAATAAGAAGAACTCCATATATATATATATTAGTTGCAGGATTCCTACGAAGTACCACAAATAATTGCGCGTGACCTCCAAATGTATGTGTTCATAGATATATCACTACTCATATGAATATTATTAAAATAGTTCACATTAAAAGCATTAACAGCGTTGTGTGGTCACAGAGATGACAACGACCAGATAGGCAAGGGACATCCGGTGAGTGCAGCGCGTGGCCGCCCACGGTATGACCTTATATGGTAAAAGTAGTAGGGTACTCAGCAGGGATACGATCCAAGTATAGCCATTATAATACGTCACTCGAATGGGCTTCGGCAGACGGACCAACACCAACGACGAGCTAGGAGCTAGGATATGACAGTCACATCTCGCTAGTCTCCATTATTTAATATAGTCACTTTGGACTTAGTAAATTTATTGTTTTTTTGTATTAACCAAATAAAAGTATTCAATTTATAAAGAAAAAACAAACTCTTCTTCATTTATTTTTCAACACCATCAAACGGACGTAGTCGGTTTGTTACAATACCTATTCTATAAAAAAAAAATATAGTGGTAATCAAAATGTTTTTTCGTTTACTATAAATAATATTTCTTTGGGCGAAAACCAAATCACTTTTTTCTATGTTTGAAATAAAAAGTTAATTTTAACGAAAACTAGAAGGTTGATTCTGGGCGAAAACATGTACGGCTCATTCTACGGTTATAAGCCAAGTATAAATTGTTCGTAATTCAACTTTTGTTTTAAAATAAAAAAAGTTATTGAAGTTACCGATATTGTTTAATATTGGTTTACAATTTTTTTTCTACGTATGCGTTATATACTCATACACTAGAAAAGTATAAGCTATGAAATATTTTATTTGATCTGTATATATAATAAAATAATTATATAATTAGGTACCTTGTTTTTAAGATCTTGAGTATCCGCAGCACACCACGAGTGCCAAGTACTCTTTGATGCTGAACAAAACTAAACACACAACACATTTAATTATTATTTTTTTTATATTATGTTATTTGTTTACACCTATTATGTATAATGTAATTATTTTATTATAATATTGTGGGTAAAAAAACCATGCTTGGGAAAACAATATAATTCATGTTCACGAAACCACGAAGATATGATTTTAAAACGAACCATTGCTTGAAAATAAAATAAACAAGTGGTTTAGATGGATAATTTTTAAGGCAAATGATAAAAAAAGCACCTTCAAAATCGACTTTTTGTATCCTCCGATGTCTTGGTTTTTGGTAGTTAAAAAAAATATATAGTAGTAAACTAGGGTTAGTAGAACCTGTTTAAGACGATTTCCCACCTAATGCGATTTTTAAACTCTAGGAGAGTGCCTCAGGTTTTACTGTATTAATAATGATAAAATACTAATTCTATAAGTTACTAGTTTAGTAAACCGATAATGTATAAAATATTGCATGTATATTAATTATATTTTCATTTTTATTTGATTCTATCCAAATGTTTGAACTAGAATATGAAAATAGTTTTATCATAAACAATTTGCAAATATTTTCAAAACTTAATGTTATTCTACTTACCTCTTCATATGTGTATGGGTGTATCTCTTTAACTTTATTTGGAAACAATTGTATACCAACTACAAGTTTTCTCATATCAAATTCATAATTGTTATTAATATGCTTGACTAATGTTTGAATTGTGGTTTCCTAACAAAAAATAAATAATATTAATACAATAGTTGTATTTACTGTTGCAACTATAACAATTAGATTACAATTTGATTGCTATACCAATATTATACAATTAGATTTTGTTATTGATATTGTATTAGTTTTTATATTTTAATTAAATAGATATTTATAAATTGTATTAATTATAATAGTCATTGTAAGTAGTTGATACAATTTAGATTGTAAATTATTTGTTCGATTTAAGAAAAAAAATGCATGAATATAGAAAGTTTCTAAATAATTATAATTAAAGGTATATGCTTGAAGATTAAGTAAGTGGTTAATTTAATTTCAAACTTTGAAACTTTTTCTAGAATTGTGTTGTTTTTACTATTTTAGTATTTTAAATTTATATTTATACCTACACAAGTTTGATCAAAAGTTCATTTAAAATTAATTAGGTATAAATTATCAAAAAATCCTTGTATTTATATGTATATATACATAAGAACAGCTTTTTTATGTATCAATTTTACGACGACTCAATTTGGATGTACACAATCAAAATAATTAACTATACAAATCATGATTTTAACTATAGAATCATTTTTTAATAAAAATACGTATTTACAATCATTAGAATCATTAGAATCATTTGTAAATATTATTATTACTATTTTTTGAAAGGATTTTTCAAAATTTGACTTCTGAGGGGGTAAAGGGGGTTTTTTTATATAGCTATATAATACACGGCAACGTCGTTACGGGACAGCTAGTGCATTATAAATGTCAAATATTTGTAGTGAGCAATAAAATAAAAAATAACACATTATATGTGTTTATATAATTCATTATACAAAAATGTTATGAAAAAACACATAATACTTGATTAATGAATCAAACATACAAATCCCATATTTCCTTCTAACGGAGAAGTGCCTGTGTCCTTGTAAGCCGATGAGCATGTTACCATGGAAATCGATTTGAATGAATACCAAGTGATCAGTGGATTTAAATTTTGGAATGAAGTAAAACCTGTTTTTATTTTATAACATATAAAATACAATACAAATAAAGTTTAAGTGTTATCCAGTTTAAATGAAAAATGAAGTTTAATTGCTATTACATATCAAATTTATATTAATAAAAACTAAAATTATGTTCATTCATTTAAATAATTTATGTGATTAAGAAAGATTTTAGGTATTTAATGAGTATAATAAGGGAACTCGCTATATTGTATACTAATTACTAGGTATAGTGTAATATAAAATAATATACTGATTGAATTTATTTTGCAATCGTTTTTGAATGTAATCCTAAAATTAATCATTAATAAATTTTATACATACATATCCAGTATCCACCATTCACTTTATTTTAGATTAGTTTATTTTATTTTTGTAATTATATAATTATACATTCAGTTTGATATAATATAAATACAATGAAAAACAGAGTTTCCAGTCCTGACCAAATTAGCCTAAATGAACCAATATCCTTAAAGGAAACCGAAATAGTACTCAGCAGTCAGCAAATGTAGAAGCAAAAACCCTGATCCTGGTGGAATCTCATACTGATTCATTCTCAACCTTGGAAACATCGCTAAAAACCATCTAATTATCATATAAAACATGATATGGAGAACAGGAATAATACCAAACGAATGGAAAAAAGGTATAATTATTACAAACATCAAACCAGGAAAAATGTGATGAGCTATATCTACCCTAATCCTAAACTTAATTACATACTCTGACAAAAACATATTCAGAAGGTTCTTAACCTCAAATTACATAAGCAGTGGATAAAACAAAATACCAAATTAAACACAATAAAAAGCAAAATACACAAATACACATATGGATAACCCTGGCTTAAAAAGAAAGACGAAACATAATGAATCGCCGCCAAATAGGGCACACATTTACAACACATAAGTAACTCATAGCTAGAAACGACCCCCCCCCCATATGCAAATCATGTGGAGTGGATCACTCAGTCAAATATATATTAGCCGAATGCCAGGAGTTTGAAAGCTCAAAAAATAAACACTACGTACCAAATCTACTAGGAGAAACCCTACAACCAGACCTACTATCAAATACCAATCAACTTCCTAAATGAAATAAATATATATATAACTTAAAATAAGTACTAATTTTAATGTAAATAGAACTAATGGCCTAGTAGTCGGAGTTATTAAGCTCAATTAAAAAAAAACCTGAGTTTCATTTGAATTTAAATAGAATTATTATTCTTTTTAAAAATAAATATAATACATTTAACGAACTATTTTTTGGAAATTAATCAGCTTTTAATAACTGTTTAATATCATACAGATTTTACAACATTGATGTATATTATTTATTTTATCAATGTGTGCACCAAGGACCGGAATAGTCCAGCCTAAAGGTGCACTTTGCTCCGGGGACCACACCGCCAACTTCAGGGGCTGCCCAGTTTTTAAAAGAGCTCCAAATAAAAATAGCCATTAAAAAGCTTCTCCAGTCAAAGTTCCGTAGTCACACCCTCATTCTAGAACGAAATCACTGGAGTCATCTGGGTTCAAGATTCTTCCACAGTTCAATTTTTGGTCACATTATCAAATTTCATCACTAACCTCAACTCTCTAATCAGTCTACTTATTTCTCTCCTCTCCTCAGTTCTTAATCTCTAAGTTTACTGTATCTCCATAACTAGTTATATAATTTTTTTTCTCATTATAACATTTATAACTATATCCAAAGTTATATATATCTTTTACCGTCATTAATTCATTAATGTTTAAACATACCGGTTTTATGTTTCTGTATCTGGCTAATTAAATTAGGTCTATTTAATTATACATTATATTATTTATCATTATTATTATCTGTTTTTATTATTACTCTATCTGAGTCTATCATGTTTATTATCTTACTATATAAATCGAAATTTTTTTTGTCGCATACGTACATATAATTGTCGAGTTATAATAGTTTTAAACTGAAAGCTAATAAATAAAAAAATATTTACTGTTTGCGATTGGCAGACCGTCCAAATCGAAGTTTATGCCAATTTTTAAAACATGTTTTCTATTCTCTGCAGCCTTTTGTAAAGCATTAAAGAATGCTATTAGATGATTCATCATTTCTGAATTGATTTTAGCTCCTTCCTATAATCATTCACAGGTTAAAAAGTGTTTCTAATTCGACAATCAAAATATATTAATATTGTATTTAAAAACCAATACATATGGTACTATACAAGAAGTATTTTTTTAGAGTTAAGTATTATTTTTAGAATATATTTGGAATGTTTCTTAATTTTCTAGCTCCTGTAATATGATGTACCTATATTGTATATTTTATGAATGTCTATTATAATATCTACCCAATGATGATGTGAAATTTCATATACTCATATGATTATATCTAATTCTGGAATTCAGTAGTATAAAAATGATCACGAATTAAATGTATTTAAATATTTTAAATGTTATATTTTGCTTTGTGGCCACAACTTAACAAATTATATTATGAAAGGCTATTTTTTTTCCATGAATTTAGCAGTTTCGCATTTTTATATAATATGTAGTAAGTGCATCTATGATCTATAATATATCAATAATGTATACTGTATAAATATTTTATATTATGTAGTACGATTTTCATTTAATTTAATTTTCATACAATAATGTATTAGTTTTTCAATTATGTGTTTTTTGTCATGGATAATAATAGACCTCTAAAAGTCTAAAACTACTGGATGGATGACTAATTCTTTTATCAACGGTGTTTACTACCATTTGTCGTGTTGGTAATAAATCATTACCTATGCTTAATCAAACAACCGGAGTTGTGGCCTGTTAAGAATTTTTAATTTTTATATCTGGAATTCTGACTGTTTAATTTTGGGCTGTTATATGTGAAAGTAGATGTAAACTATCCCCAAACAGCATATGGTGTCCAAGTTCAATGCTGGTTCAATTGGCTGTATACGAAAGTCAGCTATCTAGTAGTTTTATATATCTATGAATTTCGTATGCTTTTATTTGTGATCATTTTCTTTCGTTTTGGAAATACATTAAAAGTTTCATGTGATCTTACACAATTTTTTGTTATGTCATATCTCGTGCGGATACATCAATTGGCATTTCTTTTATTACTTGGCATGAGCAGCATATTTGATTTGACATACGAATGTATAATTTTTTTAATATAAATATGGATCACTTTTAAAACTTTGTTTACATTTTTTAACAGTACAAAAATTCATTTACGATAAATTTGAAATCCAATTTTTATTATTTATAATAATCAAAAATATTAATTCATACCTTTGTTGGATGTAAATTTGAAAATTGTATTCCGTCGATTTTATATTTTACAACCGTATGTATTATATCTATAATTAAGTTATTTTTTAAGTTGTTGGTGTCTCGTAACGCGTGTTTCCAAAGTTTATAGTTCCCATATTCCATAATTACGATGACAAGACTTCCTTGTTTATATGGTTGTACACTTTTCAGTTGATCTGTATGGATAAATAAAATTATTAAAACTATTATATTTTATTATTTTATATGTATCTAATATATTACACACCTATCATATTTTGGCTCAAGTGTACTCGATGTTGTTTTAAGATTATTGGGGTACCAAAAACAATTGCATGACAAAAGTGTCCAATAAAACTTTTTTTTACTTTTTTGTACATTTTTAATACATTTCCCAAAAATGTACAATATATGCGTGCTTGAGCTTCTTGAGGCATGAATTCTTTAAATTCCGCTTAAATACAAAATTAAATGTTAAAACAAAACAGATTACTTACTATAATTATACTATTTGTATGTATTGCATTATTTTCGTCGACGAATAAACATGTTATAGTATTTACGTCTTTAGTTGTATTTGATATGTATGATGTATAATATGTATGACTACTATACCTACCTCACCGAATGTTTGATATCCTGAACGGTAATATTAGGCTGAAGGCTGAAGGTAATAAAGATAACTGAGTGATTAGAATAACCTATCTAAAATATTATACATGCCGTGGACCATCGGCCTTTAACCGCTGTAACTAGAGACAATTTATTTTTGTCATTTAACAAGCTATAATAGTATAATATTCATCTTAAGGTCTCCACACATTGTAGATGCGACGATATGGCCATGGTGGCAAGACGAAATAATTTTACCAACACTGCTACATTGTATACCTTTAAGTTGTTTTTAGGATGAATAATATTCTGGTCATGGAAAAATGACACAGTTTTACTCGTTTACCTATTTGTTGAAGATATTATTGTTTAGTGATTCTATCAATAACAGCTGTAGCAGTCTAAGCATGAGAAAAAAAACTATAGTTCGGTTTACTAAAAGTGAACGTTCAAGGTCGATGAGTAGAGTTCAAATATTGTCGAAACAAAGAGTTCTCAGATTTGTAGTATTGTTCGTTGGTGCAGCTGTTGGCCGCTTTATGAATCATTTTGGGGCTATTTATTGATCATTTTTTTAATGTTAGCAGCTAATCATAACAATGCAACATATTGTTGGAATGTACATATTGTATAATGGTATAATAAAATACGTACATCAACAATTTTAAAAATGGTGCCAATTATGTTTGATATTCACTTATTAAAAACAGCTACAGGGATTGCTGAAGTCAACGTTCATTTTTTGTGAGCCGGACTGTATTGTCAATAGTAAATACATTTTTAAATTTTAAAAAAAATTCACCTAATTCAGTTGTAACAGAGAAGATACTCTCAAATTGCTATTCCAATGTTATGATTTAAAATTTATTTTATTTCGATGTAACAACAATCGCTATCTTGTGCTGAAGTAAAATAAATAAAACGAGTATGCCCAAGAAGTAAAATTTGGTTACTGAATTATACCCTCCTTTTTTAATATGTTTAAACTTACTTTGGCTGGAAATTGACACTATGTAAGAAATCGTGTATAATGCATTTTTTAGTTTGAAATACGATTATCTATCTAATTAATAGATTTAAATATCTAATTAATTTAATTATTGATGAGTTTAGATAATTTGAAACAGATAAAAGATTCTAAGTGAATGAATGTTCGAGAAATAGAACTACTCGAACTACTCATTTCACAGTATCTTTTTTTTTGTTCTCAAATGATAATATTAGTACTATGCAACATTTCTCTATAGTTTGAAAATTGAGCATAATTATTAGTATTTTTTTCTAACATACCACTTAATAAGTTATTTTTCAAAAGTAGTTATTGGTAATTTTTAAGAAATTGTTAAGTTGCTTTTATATAAAATAATTTTTGAATGTATAATTTATTAAAATAGTCTTTTAAAATGTTAAGACCATCTAACTTTTCTACCTTACCTCTTTTTTTTTGTTTTCTTATAGCTTCGCTTTGATTTGTTGGATTTCCTTTAATTTTTACGATTTCTACTTTACCGAGTGGAGATAGTTCTAAGTGCTCAATTGGCTTCAATGGATGTGGCATATCTTCAGTATTTTCAATGGGGTTTTTCTCAGGATCAGATATTTCTGTTATTGTCGACTCTGCAGTATCACTTGTTCCTACAATGGTATTTGATTGAGCTCCTGTTTCTAAGTTATTATCATCAATAACTTGTTCATCAATAATTTCTGATGTTTGTTTGTTGTTTTCTTCTAAATTTGTTTGTTCTTCTGGTTCAACGTCTCCAGGAGTTTTTAAACCAGGACTTAAGTTGAGTTCCATCTCTTTTGGATTTTCATCAACACCTATTTTCTCTTCATCTGGATTATTATTATTTATTTCATTTTCATTAGTCTTAGGAATGTTATTTCTGGCAGCATTTATATTTTGTAAGAATTGACTGATCGCTTTTTTTCTACCATCTTCAGGGTTTTCTTCAACACCCGGATTCTGATTTTGTGCCGTACCTTGAATATCTTCAGTGGGATTTTCCTCAGGGTTTGATATTTCTGTTATTGTCGACTCTGGAGTATCACTTGTTCCTACAATGGTATTTGATTCAACTCCTGTTTCTAAGTTATTATCATCAACAACTTGTTCATCAGCATTTTCTGATATTTTTTTCCCTTTTTTTTTTTTTTTTTTCTTTTTTTTTTCTGACTTTGTTTGTTTTTTTCGTTCATCGTCTTCAGAATCTAAGCCTATTTTCGTATTTTTAAATGGTTCATCGTCATTGTTTTCAGAATCTAAGCCTATTTTCGTATCTTTAAATGGATCTTCCTCTTCTTCAACATTCTGATTTTCAATCTCATTATCTGCAGCACCTATGTCATTTTCTTTAGGGTCCATACTATTTATTTCATCTTCTCTAGTAGGAGGAATGTTATTTCTAGAATTTAACCTTTCAAATAATCCTTTAAATGCGTTATTTGTTCCTCCTTTTCCATCATAAACTGTTGATCCTTTCTCCACACTTGGTAGTATACTAGTTGGATCAGCAGATTCTTGAACCCTTTGGTTGCTATCGGTAGTAATAATTAATATTAAATAAAATAAATGTATTAGATGATTCTTAGATAACTCAAAATTTGTCAGTATTATCCACATGTTTTTAACTACAACTGATAATTGTTTTGAACATTTGTATAATAGAGCACATTGATGATAAATATTTTATTGAACCGTAGATAGTAACATTATTATAATTTAATGAAGTTTAGTGTACTTTATAAACCACAGGCTGTGTTAATATGCTGAAACATGTTTGCTTTTGATTTATTAGAACGTATTAATTATGGTTTAATTTATTAAATCAATACATATATTCTAGGTAAAAAATATTATGGCAAATTCAATAATAAAATAAATATTATGCTTACATGACACACAGGTACATAATTTAATGATAATTATTGTAAACAAGAAATATTTCATAATCAAATTGAAACTTATTTACTATATTCAACCATTGTATTTCAATAATTATACTATACAATTAAAATTTGGACCCGTTGTGACTGGGTTGTTGGCCTCAGTCACTAACGTATTCCGAGGTCAAGCATTAGAGGCGTCGTTTGTTCCCAGATGCGTGACCACATTTCTAGTCAAATTTCTAATAATAGGGCGCCAGAGTAACGGACCTCATATTATTATCATCATATTTTCTTATTGTGTTATTGTAAATACAGATTGAAAGTTTTCGAATAATAATAAAAAAAAAAAATTAAAATATAGATTAATAAGTAGGATAAGTATTAGTGTATAAATTATAGTTAACTATAACACTATAACAACAAACGACACGATACTTTACAGGTTTGCTAGTATTATCTGCTAGATGAGTGCGTGTATGTTTTTTCTGAAAATTTGGTACATAAATAATAAAAAAAATTTGATTAATATTCTTCATGAGCCCTTATTCTGTTGAAATAAATAAAATCGTATTCATAATTGTATAACGTAAAATAAGAAACAACATTTTACTGTGTAAACAGCATTTTTATTTTTAATTGGACAATGTTCACAATAGTATTTTTAAATAACATAGGTATAAAAATGCTTTTAACTCTATTAAAATTTTTTAATTAGTTGTATGCCGAAAGAATGAAAAAATCCAATTCAAAGCATAAATTGCAAAAAAAACAGTAAACAATATAAAGTAGAGGACGAAGCCCGGACACGACGGCCGCAAGATCGACGATGGTTGACGATGAGCGGCTAGTGCGCGATGTTGTGCGCGTGACGGTCCTGCAGGTGCTGAAGATGTTGACTGTTGTGCCGGCAACAAACTGTGACCTAAGCTCGGAGCGAGCGTCGAAGACTGTAATATGTGCCTGCGAAATCGGTGGCGTCCGGAGGCTCTGCCGTGGAGTCGCACACCGTCTACCGCCTCGTCACATTGCTCTACTACCACCTCAACAGGCGCGACCACTTGGTCTCCTATTACCGGCTCGACCAGTCCATTCCGGTATTCATCTTCCGGTTGGTCGATGATCGACGGCGTGAACTCGGCGTTTTCTATTCTTGGCTCATCCGGTCCATTCTAGGGTTCTTCGTCTGGTTGGCCGATGATCGATGGTCGCTGCCTGCAAACTTCATCGCATAACCTAGGAGCGTCGCTATGTCTCCAGCGGTTGGATCATCGTCATAATTGTCAAAAATGCTTAACTCAGTTTGCATACTTTCTTATTTTATTTCATTTACGATTTTTTCAATGATGTCTTTTATTGTAGTTTCGATGCAGACAGCGGTTTCGATGTCATACGATTCAGATTCAGCCATATTATTACAGGTTTTAGATGCGGAAATGGGTAATTGGAAAAATTAATTGCAAGTGAGCCGATTTCGAATTTCGTCCGAGGCCGTCGCCGATTATTTAAAACAAAATATTGTTTATAAGTAGCCAGCGAGTACGGTGCTATCATATTATTAATCTTAAGGCGTCTGCTGACTTTTTGAAAATCTCAGTTCACGGTTAACTTATTCCTTTCATGCTTAACACCTCGCATATTAATTAATATTACTCATTCAAAATTAATGAAAATTCGAGCATCCTCACTGTAGATTTGTTAGTTGTTACAGCACATAAGTGTTTTTTTGTGATAAAAAAGTGATCACGGTTTTTAGTAATATGAAAAGTTCTAACTGATATTTTAATTAAAATATAAATTGACCAACATAAATTTAAAAAATAGGTATTTTTTAATTAATACGTTGAATACGTCATACGCGTTACCTGTATAATAAGGTAACGGCAGCTCAATTTTACATAAGAGTATTTAATATATTTCCAGCATCACTGATAATTTAAGAATAATATTAATTCAACTTCTCGGCTACCGTATTAATATTAAGTAATTACAATATATAATATATATATATAAATCGTAGACTCACATACCGTCTCGGCTCAGAATCGTTTTTCATATACAATGATGTATTGATATTAAATCATCGAATTCAAATTGAATACCATCCAGTACAGCGACCTTCTAGACACCTAACGTACAGCAAAGCGACGTCCACTTACCCTTTTTTTTATGTTTTTGAAACATAATTAATTTTAATATTATAATATGTTCGTATCTATAAATTAAATACGAATTTCTTGGGTGAAAATTTGATTTTTTAACATTTGCATTAATGTTTCTTTCTCCCGGCTTAACCATTTTACGGTTAACACTAAACTTGTTATAAAAGATATGAAATAACTTCTACTGCAGCCAACGCAAGTATCAGTAATAATCGTCATAATGATATGATACACCTTCTACCCTAATGGTACACCGAAGACAAAAGTGGACAACTGATAATGTGTAATAATAATAATAATAACGCAGTTGGCGGTCATCTTCATTATACACATTTATCGATATTATTATACGATTACGATCAAATTTTACTGATCGATTTGCTTGTGGCTTGTCATATAGTGTATACTATATAACAATATGTAACTGTCAATATTTAACTCACTCGAACGATGTAAACTTGAATACGTTCTACTATCTAGTGTTGTTGTAGCGTCCTTTTAATTTATTATTTTTCATGTTTCGCACTTGGAATGAAAGTTAATACGACTTTTATAATGCATGGTTAAAAATATATCCTGTTTCGATTTACTTTAAAATAGGATTGTAGCAATGTGTAAATGTATTATGATAGTGTTGTTGTTGTCGAAAATTTTCGTTGATCAATTGATCTGAGTGAACTTAAAAATAATGAATGGTAAAGAAGTGAGAAGGATAGTCTTTAAGTAAGATAAATACGGGAATGCGGCTGGTAAGCGTTTTAACGTTTAGCTTAAACACTAATATTATATTAGTTTTTAAAAAATATTGTTTATAGATAGATGATAATGATATTTTTCTTGTAGAGTGGTTAAAAATATTAAATTAGTCAATTTGCATCTTTATTAAAATTATTTTCAATTTTCATCACTTAAGGTTCGGTACTCGATAAATGATCCTAGGGCCCCCCATACGTCAACACAGGATAGGAGCTACCGGGAAAATCCCGAATTCCCAGTGGGCCTACCCGCCACTGAATGAAGGTAGGTACAGCAGAGAGATATCTACGTGCACATCCTCTTTAAAATTTTTTCTATAAATATTGTTGGGTCGAAAAGCTTGAAAATTAATACAAGGTTACTCCTCATCAGTTGTTATTACAGAAATTTAAAAATATTATATAGATACATACTTGATTTTTTTTTACAAACAGTATAAGTTAAACATTTTAATAATTAAAATCACTGAAATTTGTAATTTATTCATAGTTTAAATTTTTTATTATATTACATTTTAATAGGTATGGCTAGGTTTGTTAAATATCTTATTTATGTTGTATAGTGTAATAATGATGAGTTTTTGTGAACCCATAGATACACGCTTTTTCAGTTAAATTTGAGAGTTATCAATATTATTAAAATTTCTAAGCCATATAAAAATGTAAAACAACTGTATGAATTTATTAATATAATAATAAGTCCAAACTGTTTAAATAATTGTCAGCTAACAACCTTGTATTTGATGCTGAAACAATAAAAAAAAAAAATATAATAATGTTATAGGTAATATATGTTTACATTGTCAGAATTTATTATTCAAATGTTTTCAATGTGGTATATTATGTAATTTAATATGATTTACCTTTATTTTATTGTAAGTATCAATATGATTGTAACAGTTACAGATGATCTTGAGTCCGGGTGGTTTCAGCGGAAGATTTTGGTCTGGATTGAAGTTGTGGATCCGGAACATTGAATGTAGATGCTATTGAGGGTCTTATTTTTTTGGGGGCTTTTTTGAAAGCTGGACAGCCCCTGAAGTTGGCGGTGTGGTCGCTGGAGCAAAGTGTGCATTTAGCTGGACTATTCCGGTCCTTGGAACACAAACATCATATGTAAGATGTTCCGCACCACATTTAACGTGTGGTTGCAATAGTTTTGCGTATGGCCAAAAAATTATGCACATTATCTTTCTCAATTTTACAGGCTTAGGACTGTCAACTTTAAAGTAGGCTTGGGTAAAAATGTGTGGTTATGTTTGCTAAAAAATAAAATAAAATATACAAAATTTAAAATCGTTGGTTTGGGTGTCAACCAGTCATCACTGTTGTATACAAATAATATAATTTATAATATTATTAAATGACGGGAATAATATTTCCAGTACCTGTGTATTTGGGTATTATAAATCAAAAACGCAATTAAATCGCTTCTATAGAGAAATTAACATACCTTTAGACTTAGATCATAAAATTCATAATTCACATAATATAAACATTGCACGATAATTAATATCAAGCGACCTACATTCACATATAACCATTAATCACACACAATTGCATCTCGATCATCCAGGAGTATGATGCAACAATAATTATAATGCAGAAATCTATAATCGTCCAAAGACAAGACAATTCAGTTATAACACAACAAAGTGGAAATGAAAAAATTAGCTATGCTTTATATACGTTATACATATCACCCACACGAAGAAGTATGTCTTTCTTGGACTCTCTGCGGTCTCTTGGACTTTCATTATCTCGTACTCTCAGTCTTAGTATTTCAGGACCAGATGATTGTCTTCGAATCACTCAAACTCTTCGGGCGAACTCACATTCGGACCACTTGGATTGTTGTATTATTGTTTCACGGCAGCGTGATATCTTGAAGCACTATACGTACTTACGACCAGGAAGCATAATGTCCTAC